CAGTATGGGAAACATCGTCGTGTTCCCTTCAGTCCTAGAGTTGAAAGTCGTATGTTGAGTCCTTTTGCTTTGGTTCATTCAGATGTTTGGGGCCCAATTAAAATAAAGTCTTATAATGGTTACAAGTATTTTGTCACTTTTATTGTTGATTGTTCAAGTATGACATGGATTTACTTAATGAAAGAAAGGAGTGAATTATTTTCCATTTTCAAAAAATTCTATGTTGAAATACGTACACAATTTGGTAATCCAATCAAAGTTCTTCGTTCGGATAACGGTCCTGAATACTTTCTTACTTCCTTTCAACAGTATTTAGAACAGCATGGCATCATTCATCAAACTTCATGTGCATCCACTCCTCAACAAAATGGGGTGGCTGAACGAAAGAACCGTCATCTCCTTGAAACTGCTCGGTCTATTCTTCATCATATGAGTGTTCCTAAACGATTTTGGAGTGATGTTGTACCTTCATGGTCGGTCTCCCTTCTCTATCTTGTTCCCCACCTTGTCTCCCTTTCCATTAACACCTCGTATCTTTGGCTGTGTGCTTTGTTCACAATCTCTGAGTCCTAGAATAGACAAGCTGGATGCACGCTCTATTAAGTGTCTTTCTTGGCTACTCTCGAACTCAAAAAGGGTACAAGTGTAACAATCCCATTACTCGGAAGTGCTATGTCTGTCCTAATGTAACCTTTTTTGAGTTTGTCCCCTTCTTCTCTAGACCTGAAGTATCCATGTCTCTACCTTTGCTTCCTCTTCCTCTTCCAGTTAGTGATCCCGTTCCGGGTGTTCCAGTTGGGGTTGACCCTTCACCCCGTCCAGTGCAGCTCCCTACTGAACGACCACCGATCTAGCACGTGTATACTCATCGACAGACACCGACTCCTCCTCTAGCTTCTACCTTGTCTGCGGATCCTATTGTTGCTCCTGTCCCTGAACCTTCAGGACTTGATCTTCCCATTGCTTTACGAAAAGGTAAACGTAGTTGTACCCTCCATCCTATTTCCAATTTTGTTTCAGTATCTCGTCTTTCCGCYTCACATCGCCAGTTTGTTTCACTATTGTCATCCATTTCTATACCTAAGAATGTCTGAGAGGCTCTTAGCTCACCTGGGTGGCGGCAGGCAATGGAGAAGGAACTCTCTGCCCTTCAGCATACTCACACGTGGGAGCTCACTACTCTTCCACCTGGTAAGCATGTTGTGGGTTATAAATGGGTGTATACTGTTAAATACTTGCCAGATGGTAGTGTGGAGCGTCTGAAGGCCAGACTTGTTGCTAAAGGTTATTCACAGTTGTATGGAGCGGACTATATGGAGACCTTCTCTCCAGTTGCTAAGATTGGCTTTGTTCGTGTCTTAATTTCCCTGGCAGTTTTATGTATGATTGGCCCTTGTTTCAACTTGACATTAAAAATGCCTTCCTTCATGGTGACCTTATGGAGGAGGTATATATGGAGCAACCACCTGTGTTTGTTGCTCAGGGGGAGGATGGTAAGGTATGCAAACTGAAAAAGGCAATTTATGAGTTGAAACAATCGCCTCGTGCTTGGTTTGGGAAGTTTAGTGAAGTGGTGAAGAATTTTGGAATGAAACAATGCCAGGTTGACCACTCGGTGTTTAGCTATGATTCAGAAGCCAGAAAGATTTTATTAGTGGTTTATGTGGATGAAATTGTCATAACTGGTAGTGACAAATTGGAGATCGATAAACTAAAGGTCTTTCTGCAAAATCATTTTCAAACAAAAGACCTTGGGACATTGAAGTATTTCTTGGGTATAGAAGTTGCCAGATTAAGACAAGGTGTAAACTTGTGCCAAAGAAAATATGTTCTTGCTGGATGAAACCGGACTGTTAGGTGCAAAACCGGTTGAAACTCCAATGGAACCAAATGCTAAGTTGAGCAGTGATACAGAGGAAATATTTGATGATCCTGGAAGGTATAGACGGCTAGTGGGGAAGCTGAACTATTTGAATATCACAAGACCAAACATCTCCTTTACAGTTAGTGTGGTGAGCCAATTTATGCAGAACCCTCGAATACCTCACTGGAATGCAATTCTTAGAATTGTAAGGTACTTGAAGGGAGCTCCAGGCCATGGGTTATTGTACAAACCAGGAGGAAAACTTGAACTAATTGGGTATACAGATGCAGATTGGGCAGGCTTTGTGTCTGATAGAAGATCTACTACAGGTTACTACACATTTCTTGGAGGAAATCTTGTGACATGGAAGACTAAGAAGCAGACGGTTGTGGCAAGGAGCAGTGTTGAAGCCGAATACAGGGCCATGGCACACACTACATGTGAATTAGTATGGTTGAGGAATCTCCTACAAGAAATCGGTTTCTCCATGGATAGACCTATGAAACTGTACTGTGACAATCAAGCTGCACTTCACATCTCATCCAACCCTGTTTTTCATGAGAGAACAAAGCACATAGAGATTGATTGTCACTTTGTGAGGGAGAAGGTCCTCATTGGAGAGATAAGCACAGAACATGTGGGCTCAGGTGATCAGTCGGCAGATTTGTTTACAAAAGGCTTAAGCTTAGGGAGAGTGAACTATATATGTAACAAGCTGGGATTATATGACATATATTCTCCAGCTTGAGGGGGAGTGTTAGAGCTAGCCGAATAAGGGTAGATTAGCCATTTTATTTCTATTAAGTTATGGGCTTATGTGGCAGTCTTAATAGAGACTTCCTGTCCCATACTTAAGTGGGGCAGTTTAGTCTTTGTACTACTAATTAGAGGCAAATCCATATTAAGGGTCGACTGATAGGGTTTAATCTATCAAGTTCGACTGTTCTCTTCATCTTCTTCTTCTTCTTCTTCTTCTTCTTCTTCCTCTTCTTCTTCTCTTCTCCTGGTTCGAACTACTGTAGCTACAAAACAAACACTCCTGATGTGACCAATATTTTGTACACTGTAGTTCATATGAATGCTTGGCCTGGCAGAGAATTCAAAAGTAAAACATAATATAAAATTTAAATATTTATATTTCTAACTATAATACCATAATTTACCAATTAAAACAAACTATAATACAATAATTTGTTTATCTCCACAAAAGCAAAAGTCAAAACCACCATATCATTCTTTGAAGGCTAGGATGTCCAGATAGTGTGCTCAAATTGCACCTCCTTACATTCATAACCTGCCTACCATACAGAGAAAGAAAGCAATTCATACATGCAGGAAATGCCATGCAGAAAGGCATACCAAGTTAAGAAGCGTCGCCAGAATTTCAGGAGGAATATTTGGAGATGAAAATGCCATCTCTAGACTTCGAACTAGCTGTTGTTGAGAAGATTCATTCAGCTGTGCCCAACAACTAACAAAACCAGCAGCAAACAGCTCCCGCCCCACAAATGGCTGCAAATGGCAAAGGTCAGAATTCAAACCTCAAAGAAGAGTTACTCAAGTGAAAACAGTTTTCGAAACCTGCAATTGTGCAAGCCTTGCACATGTTCGTAAAGCAGGCGAAGGAGATTCCTTTAGTAGTTCAATACTAAAATGTCTCATCCACTCTGCCCAATCTTCCTTGGTGCTACGTTGAGAAGCTTCCCCAGCAGTCCGTAATCGACCATCATTAACCTACATAGAATTAATGAAAGTTATAAAAGCTTCCACTGTAAATTGAGAGACAAGATAATGAACAAGCAAACCAAAAGGATGCAAACAAGCAAAGACGGACATGAGAATCAAATGGAAAATTTGACTAGTATATTAGGATCACTAATCCACACTCAAAAAAGAGAATGTAACACTTAAAAATATAAATGAAATTGCAAGCATATTCTTCATCTATCTAGGAAATAGAATAAATGTAATATCATGTTAGTAGGCTGCAAAAAAATGGAGACATCAGGACAACTAAGATACAGATGTTGGTTTCCCAATAGATCATTAATCTAATGCAGGATATGGATGAGAGATGCTACAACTCTATACCGAGCCAAGCATAGTGAAAATCACAAGAGCCTATCCAATTTTCAAGCCAAAAATAGCATTCAACAATGCCTACATTTCAATGTATCAGAAGAAACAGAGACAATACCATTAGTTTTTCCAGAGGTCACTAATATTTTGACATTGAATTTCAAGTATTTTATCAGGGAAAAATCAAATAGATTAGTGTAGGGCAAAAAACATTAAAGCCTTCTCATTATAATATTAAATAGCATTGAATCGAGAAAAGAAATTACTTGATGGTTTCTCAACTGTTTGTGCATCTCACCCCCTTCCTCATAAGGATCATTCTCAACATCATCTAGAGGGTCACTAATCACCTCAACAGGAACCCGACGAGTCAATTTTTGTGAAGAGATACTTCCCATAAGCAGTGGCTCACGTCTTTGCAAGTGACCTTCTATTTCCTCAAATTCCTTGTGCTGAAAAGAGAACCACTTTCATAACTATCTCCACAAAATGAAAAAAAAAAACGAAAAATAAAAAAAAAATCAAATCTAACCTAAAGTTAAAAATAAAAAATGAAAAGGATAAAACAGCAGACCCGCAAACGGTACTTCACTAATAGTTTCTGGATTGATGGAATGAAAATGGTGAAGTCCTCCCCAAGAGAATGTGCCAGAACACAAAAGGCATCAACAGCATCCTTTCTTAGCTCATCATTCTTTCTGCAAGTTAAAAGCTTACAGATGAACCAACAGATTGTGACAAACTTTAGAAAAGCAATAAAGTAAAACGGCATACAAGAATTCAAGTTCAACATACAACCTTGCCAAAAATTGGTCAAAAATGGTAAAAAATGGGCTTATAAATCACATAATAGATCTTAATTATCTCAAAGAAATACAGATAGCTTCATTTAGAGCTCAATTAAAGCTAAACACAGTGACACATTCTAGAATCCTTTAATACATACAGAGAAGCTTCCAACAATTATTCCATTGTCCCAACAGCTGCCATTAATCAAGAAAACAGACAAAAAAGGCTATGATTTCTAGATCCCACCAAATCTATCTAACCCCAGAAACAGCTGTTTATTGGATACAATGAAAAACAATGGAATTCATGACTTCATGTGATTATAAACTATAAAGTATACAAAAGAATGAAAAAATATTCATAATTCTTTTTAGTCAGTAACATGAAAGACATTTTAATGAAAGAAGAAAAAAAGGTATAATTGTAATCTCCCCAATGAGTAGAGTAGAAAGGTGCTGAAATAAAAAATCTGTAAAAGAAAAGAGTATTTCTTGAAGAAGAAGAGAATAAAGGAGAAAAGGAAGAGAAGAGATTTGAGAGAAAAGAGAGCAATAATGCTGGCCGCCCTCTTCACTATTATTTATAGTCTAAAATAATAAAGAGTATAAAGACCAATATGCCCTTATAGGGCGGCTAACACATAAAACAGCATAAAACAAATAAAATAACTGCTCAAAAAGGACCCAACAAGAGTGCTGTGGTCCCCACTTACTATCTAAACAATAAATAAACAAAAACTACCACTATAGACTACACAATTTGTCTAAAACCTCAACAAGTAGGAAGCAAGACCCAAAATAGACCTTGCAGAAACCAAAATCAAAACATTGAAGACCAAGATTTTCACAGCGTATCATCTGAAGTGGGCACTGGTAATAAGGAAATTTTGAGGAGGATAAGTGGTTTAGGGAGCATAAATTGCAATGAGGCATTTCCCCTCTTATAGCAGAAGAGGGAGCATTCGTGCAGGAACAGAGTTGTTATAGATAAATCCAATTTTCTTGCCTCCATACTAGGATGCTTTCAGCAATGCAAGATTTCCATCTGGGAAGGAAGACAACAAAATCTGGCACCCTGATCCAAATGGTTTCTCTCAGTCAGGACTGTTAATTCTTTATTGAATCAGGAAAAAAAAATACTCCCATTCCATGGTACTTGACTTGGTTCCACATATCCCACTAAAGTGTGACATGTGATCCACTTATTCCAGGATTGGAGATTTAAGAAATAGTTGTACTCTTTGTTATGAACAGATGAGATTAGTCTCTCACCCTCTTCTTCACTGCATATTTTCAGCCAAGAAAATATTCTTGTATCAATTTTTAGAAGGCAATGGTAGGAGTGGCAATTTATGACACAACACGTATACTTATAACCCACCCATTTCACACGGTTTTGATATATAAATATATGGTCGGCTGGGAGAGTCTCTTTGACTTCTCAGTTTGACACTCCTTTCTCCTCTTTTCTTCTTCTTCTCTCCCTCTCTTTCTCTCTTCTCTATCTCTGAAAACAGTTCAACTAAACTATATTTGCATGGTATCAGAGCATCGCTAAAAAGGAGAGAGGAAGACTACAGCTTCATTCAATCAGCTCCTCTTTCCACCCTCTTCTTTTTTTATTTATTTTTTCTGGTCTGCACAATCTGGCATAAGTGGTGGAGAAGGTTGCGGCAACCTATTCAGGCGTCCTAGGGTTACGGTGGCTTAGTTACAGGTGAAGGGGGAGTGCGACAGCCCAAGTGAAAAATTTCTGGACTGCTGTCATCACGCGTGACAGCCTTGGTGGTCGAGTGGTTGTAGTTGTGGTGGTCTGAACCCTCTAAATAGCAGTTTCAAGAGGGATTTTTTTGTGGTTATGAAATTGTTTACTCACAGAAGTGGCCGAATGTATGCTAGGCCATGTTCGTGGTGATTGGATGAGTGTGTTGGTGTAGTATTCAAAGAACAATAGTCGAGGTGCTGGGACTGAGTTTCTTTTTTTTTTTTTTTTGGACGGGCGGAATCAGCTTTGTAGGTAGAAATGGTGTTGATGAGGGATGTTAGTGGTGACCAGAAATCGAGTGTGATGATCTCCTCTAATTTTTTAAGTGTGCAGATGACATCCATCAAACTCAACAGTGAAAACTATGTGCCATGGGCTACATCGGTGGAAGTGTTTCTTAGGGCTAATAAGAAAGTGAAACATGTATGAGAGGAGAAACCTATTGCTGAATCTTTGGGTTTCAGTGATTGGGAGCAGGAGGATGCTCAAATCATGACGTAGTTGTGGAATAGTATGGAGCCTAAAATCAGTGTTAACTTTATGTTCTTAGACACAACAAAGGATATATGGAAGCATGCCAAGAAACTCTATTCCGGACAAGACAACACTACAAGAGTTTATCAGCTTTATCAGGAGTACTTCAGTTTGCAACAGGGAAACCAGACCCTTGAAGAATATTATGCCAATATGAGAAATCTTCGAAATAAACTTAATGTCCTTCATCCCTTAACTCCGGATGTCAAAATTCAGCAACAACAAAGGGAACAACTAGATGTTACCAGGTTCTTGGTGGGGCTGAAATCAGAAACGAACCTGTCAGAGCAAAGATATTAAGTGGATCTGCCCTCCTTAGAGGAAGTGTTTGCCCGTCTCCATAGGATCTCTCTTAATCCAATAGAGAGTACCATACCTCCTGACACATCAGCACTTGTTGGAACTCGAGGAGGAGCTTATGGGAACCGAGGAGGTGGTCGTACGGTTCGGGGAGGCCGTGGTAACCCTGTGTTTGGTCATAGCAATGGTGGAGGTCGTGATTCAAGGGGAGGCCATGGCAAAAGAAGAGGAAGCACTACTAGGAAATGTACACATTGTGGAAGAGATGGACACACAGTTAGCTTCTATTATGATCTGCATGGTCCACCCTCCACATGAGCTAATCATGCAGTTGGTGGTAGTGAAGCCAGTGAGAATGAACCAGTTGATCCAACACCTTCTATAGTCACAACTATTTCTCGGAAGGAGATGATGGGTATTCCAAGAGATGAGTATGAGAGATTCCTTTAGGCTACTTCACATCAGAATACTGCCACCCTTGCTCATTCAAGTATGGTTTGTCTGGCATCAAAACCTTTCTCCGGGATAATTGACTCTAGAGTCTCTGATCACATGACCGGAACTCCAGATGTGTTTTCCTCTCTCTCTCTAACCTCCACATCACATAATGCTACCCTAGCCAATGGTTCTACCTCCCCCATTTACGGTGTTGGTAATGCTGACACAGCATCTCTTTCTTTGTCTTCTGCTTTATATGTACCCAAGTTTCCTTTTAATCTTATGTCTATTAGTAAACTAACTAAATCCCTCAATTGTTTTATCATGTTTTACCCTTCTTCTTGTGCCTTTTCAAGATCTCAAGACAGGGGAGAAGATTGGTCGAGGGCATGAAGTTGGTGGATTGTATTACCATGACGGTGATGGTTCTACAGTTGCACTTCAAACTTCTTTGACTCCTCCCCAGTGGCATTGTAGACTCGACCATCCATCTCTTAAAGCTCTCAAGTTAATTGTTCCGTCATTGAGCCATCTGTCTTCTTTGCAGTGTGAGTCATGTCAGTATGGGAAACACCATAAGGTTTACTTTAGTCCTAGAGTTGATAGTTGCATGTTAAGTCCTTTTGATTTGGTTCATTTAGACATTTGGGGTCCAATTAGAATTGAGCCTTATAATGGTTACAGGTATTTTTGTTGATGACTATTCAAGAATGACATGGATTTATTAATGAAAGAAAGAAATGAATTATTTTCCATTTTCCAAAAGTTTCATGCTGAAGTGTGTACACAATTTGGTGTTTTAATTAAAATTCTTCATTCAGACAATGGTATAGAGTATTTGGAACACCATGGCATTATTCAACAGACATCTTGTGTAAACACTCCTCAACAAAATGGGGTGGCTGAGAGGAAGAACCGACATCTACTTGACACAGCTCGGTCTCTTCTTCATCATATGAATGTTCCTAAACGTTTCTAGAGTGATGCAATACTTACTGTTTGTTTTCTCATTAATTGCATGCCCTCGTTCATTCTTGATGGTCGTTCTCCGTTCTCTATTTTGTTTCCTACTTTGTCTCCATATCCCTTGACTCCCAGGATCTTCGAGTGTGTGTGTTTTGTTCAGAATCTTGATCCTAGTCTAGACAAGTTGGATGCACACGCTCCATTAAGTGTATCTTCCTTGGCTACTCTAGGACTCAGAAAGGGTATAAATGCTACAATCCTATTACTCGGAAATCCTTTGTCTATCTCGGTGTTACATTCTTTGAGTCTGTGCCATACATCTCAGGTCCTGATATTTCTCCTTCTCCCAAAGAGGTTCCTCTTCCCCTTCCAGCTGATAATCCCATTCCTGTTGTTCCCGTTATGACTGGCTCTCCACCTTCCCCAATGCAGGAACTTACTGAAAGGCCACCAATCCGTCAAGTGTATACTCACCGACAAAGACCAGCACCTCCTCCAGCTTTTACTTCGTCTGCAGATCCAAGTTCTTTCACACCCGAGTTGCCTTCTGACCTTGACCTTCCTATCGCATTGCGAAAAGGTAAACGTAGTTGCACTTTGCACCCCATATCCAATTATGTTTCTGTCTCTCCCCTTTCTACTTCCCATCACGAATTTGTTTCTCTATTATCCTCTGTATCTACACCTAAGGATGTTCAGGAGGCTCTCACCTCGCCAGGGTGGCGTAAAGCTATGGAAGAGGAACTCTCTGCCCTTAATCACAACCATACATGGGAACTCACCAATCTTCCCCCAGGTAAGCATGTTGTTGGTTGTAAATGGGTGTATGTTGTTAAATATCTACTAGATGGGAGAGTGGAACGGCTGAAAGCTTGTTTAGTTGCCAAAGGGTATTCTCAACTTTATG